AAATGATGGATTCTGCAGACTTTCTATGACACGTGTTTTACCTTAAGAGGAGAGCCTTTACTTTCTATCTAAAACATCTCTGTTCAAGTGTTCCACAGTTGCTTTAAATTTGCTTATCAGGGCCGGCTTGTGGCTCACTCGGGAGAGTGTGGTGCTGACAACACCATGTCAAGGGTTAAGAACCCCTTACTGGTCATCTTTAAAATAAATAAATTTGCTGATCAAGTCTATATGGAGACAAAGGAACCCTTTCCTCCTAAGATCAAAGCATAACCAATTTTCGTGATTTTCACCTTTAGATCCCCTTCTGAGATCTCACAGCTTTGCCTGCCAGAATCTAAGCCCAAACAGGCCAGATTTTTTTTTTTTAATAGAAGGTGGAAATTTAGATTTTTATGTTTAGACCTTTTTAAAATTGCACAAGCCAGATCCAGCCCCTGGGCCAGCAGTTTACAGCCTCTGATTTAACTAGTCTATAGAAGGAATCTGCTTACCCCATGGTCTTGATGATTGTGCAAGAACTAGGTGGAGATGCCATACATTGCTATACAAACAGCAGGACATTTGGAGGCTTGTGATTGCCGCATAGAACAGATGAAATGATCACTATCCAAGCCCTGTTCTTTTATGTTGACCTGGATAAATAGGGTTTTAGAACTAATGAGGTGGAATTGCCTGTTTGTCTTCCTTTCCTATGCTATGATGCATGTGAATAAGCCATTGTCGGGAAAGCAGAGCTTTGTTGTTTTTCATGGATGCATAAAATGGACTTTGCCCGTGGGCATGCATTACAATTGCAAAGTAGGCAAGTTTGTCTTTTGGCATCAAAAATCTCAGCCTTCTGGGCCCTTTCCCTGCACCTCACCTTAGGATGACCTCACACTTGCGAGCCAGCTCATTATGTGCTCTCCTCACATCATCAGAAGCACTTATTAGGAAAGGCAGTTGGTTTAAGTGGAATTTGAGGTAATCCCACCCTCATGTGTCCATGTAGGTGCTTAGCTGAAAAGATTGCTGGAAATCTGCAGAGTAAATATCTTTCCAAATGTCAGCTTCTCCTGACCTACCCAATAGAAGCACTAAAAAAAGTTAGATGACACTGGATTTCTGAGGGAGAGGTAAGTTTTTAAAAGCAATTTATTTGTGCTGTTCTTACTTCCCTCCTTTTGTGTCTGTGACTTGAATGTATTTTTCTCATGCTTTGGGCTGTAACAAGTTTTTAACTCTGTTCAGTCATTAAACATGTATTAGACACCTGTAAATTGACTGTGCAGAGCTGATAACATTTCCACCTCAAGGGATCAAATCAGACAATAGCTGTACATACTCAATTTTAGAATATTCTTCCAAAAGAACTTTTGATCTCCTTTAAGAGAGCTTTCAGATATGCTATATACCAAACATCCCAAATTTTATTAATTTACAGTTATATAGATTGATTTGATATTTTGCATGTGTTAAACTTTTTAAAAGTAGCATAATTTTACAATATCCTTGGAGTTCCATGCTCTAAACAACTTGTAAATAAAGAAAAACATGAGAAGCTAAATGTGAGAGAACGTTTATGTTTTCATTTTTTTTAAAAAAAACAAAAAGCATTGCAAAAGCATACAGCAGAAAGTTCCAGATCTTATCTGTAGAACAAGGCTTAAATTTAAATAAAGACATATAGATACATGTAAATTAGCAAAAAGGTTAAAAGGGTTTCTTTTAATGTAATTCCTTTTTGGTGATAGAATTGAGTCTAGTTAACCACTATCCAGATAGAGAAAGATATAGCATAGAGGATGTCAGAGCTCTTGAAGTATTGTCAACCTTTGGTTTTTAAAATAGTTTGATTTTTTTTTATCATCAAAAGACAACTTAATAGACAAAAATCATTAAATATTCATGTTCCACAGCTGTATTTATAGCTCATTACAAGCCTGCTGATTTTTAAGATTTTTTTTAAGGTTTAATTTATGCATAGAATTTACACGGAAC